CACTCCACTTCCAAACCTCTCAGAGCGCTCAAGAGAAGGTAAAGGGGATACCTGTTACGAAATCTCCTGGTTGAGGGCTTGGGATTTGGAGTGACGGCCAGCCATCGGGGTAAGGGGAGCTACGGAATTCAATTTTGTGGAGCGGCTAACATTTTTGTCTGTCTGTGTCTGTCTTTGTCTATTAGGCCTGTCTTATGTGTCACAGTTCCAAAAGGGCACACCGGTGTCTCTAGTGAGGCAGCCATGCGCTGGACCCTCTGTGTTCGGACGCTAAAAGCTGGTGTGGTGCCATTACTCTCTCTCGGCACACGGAACTGTGGGGAAGCTTTGTTGTCTCTCTCTGTTATTTGTGGGCGTAGTATTGACCTCTGAGGCTAACCCCAGGCCATAGTACCCCATTCAAGCCAGGCTGTCTCCAGGCACCAGGACGCGGTGTTATGCCAGGCTGGGACGGGTGCCGGAATCCCCTGTGATCCAGGTGGACCTTGAGTCCAGTGCCTCGCAACAAAAGGGGGGGGACCAGTGCGAGCAGGTGGATATCTCTTAATTCGGTGACTCGCAGAAGGTGTAAGCAGACGGACTTTTAGTTCGGTGCCTTACAGAATTAAGCGCGCGCAGAAAATGGGGTAGGTCAGTCTACAGGAATTCCAGTGCCTTTATGAGAAGAGCCTTCTGGTATAGGATCCTAATGAAGTCTGATATTAAGTGCCGGATGTCTTAGGGCAGCGCCACTTAATAGAAACACCCATGAGAATTGGACAATAAAGAAAGATGCATCTAAATGTGGAAACTGTAGGAAAAATGTGAAAAAGGAGAAAAAAAATTTGTGAAAAAAAATGTGTGAGAAAAATGAGTATGAATGTAATGAGTGAAGAATGAATGCCTCTGCATAGGTCTGAGACTTGAGCTGATCCCAGCTGCACCAGGGCTCTCCCACGAAGGAGCTCTGAACGCAAGGAGGGGGAGTCAGCTGAACCTCGAGACTCAGCAGATATGTGAAGGAGTGACGACTCCCCTTATTTCATGAGCTGCTAAGGTCTGACACTCTAAACCCGGCAGACTCTTTCTTTGGAGTGTGTAAAGTTAGTTTAGGTGGGGGTTAGTCAAAACACCCCACACTCTGCCGAAAGGCACCCCTGTGTACTACATGTACGTGCATAATGGTCCAAGGACCTGTAAGCATTTAACAAATTGGAAAAGAGGAAAAATTAAAGCCCTGAGGGATGAAAGTAAAGCTCAGAAAAGCAAAAATCCGCCCTGCAGTAAGATAGGTAACTTAAAAGTTGCTGCAGCACCTCTGTGCCAAAATAATGCACAAGAAGTGGGAAAAAAAAAGAAAAGAGATTTCTCAGTTGGCACACCCATATCAACCAAGCTTGGGGGGGAAATCTGGCACAACATCACCCCTCTATCCCTCTTTATAACGCATACACAGATAGAGAGGAAACATGAAAAATAACTGAAAGGAATTAGCTCTTCCCTTTGAAAACACGGGCTCCTGTAACAAACTTGCCCGATCCAAAGCAAAACACAAAGTTTAAAATAAGTTTAA